GATGGCTGAATCAGCCAGTTGTGGAAGGGCAGGGCAGGCTGTGTACAAAACTGGAGGCCCAGGACCCGTGGACTCACACTGTTCCCATCCCATGTTTCAACCATATCCCTCCCTGCACTCTCAACTTGCCCCTCTAGGGAAGCCCTCCCAGATAACATCGTCTGGCAATAGCCACAGAGTTATCCTTGCTGCGTCTCATCACCTCCCAGGCAAACTGCCAACTCCATTTGTCTTACCCTGATAGATCAGTCAAGAAATACCTCGGCAGATACTTCGTGAGCTACCTCACTACCTGCCTCGCTCTGTCCATGTGGGAGCTCAAGGCTAGTAACGCAAACCAGCAGATGATCCTAAAAATCGTTTGTGTATCTTCATTGGATTTTTTTTTTTTTAGCAGCTGATTTATCTTTCTAATTATGTTTGGCTTTAAGCTAATGTTAAAATGAGCTTGCATAAGATAATTTTCACTAATTAACACCAACTTAGTGCCGGGAAAGTCATCCCAGAAGCTTGCCATGGGGCAGGGAAAAGCTGGCCTAGGATCTTACAAAGAATTGCTCTGCTTACTCCCTGGCAGGTCACGACACGTGGTTGTTCACGGCTGAATTAGTTGGCCTTGCTCACGTGGGTGCCATCTGTCTTCCTCCTCTGGAGAGCCAGCCTGGGTCTCCTTTGTACATACACCCTCCTTCATTCAACCTTGTCAAGAGTGATGGCCTCACGGGGTCAGCCCGAGAGGGAGTGAGCCCCAAGGGGCGCAGCAGGGAGACCTGACCTGCAGGGTCAGGATCAGAGCCCCACACTGAGGTGGAGGGCTCTAGGACAGGAAGCGGTGGGGCTGGGTGGAATTGGGCTCCGCTGCTGCCAGCATAGGGAGGGAGCCCGGTGTTTTATGATGTCTAATTAGTGAGCCCAAGACGATGGAATGTGGCCACAGATAGCTGGGAAGCCCCAGCTGATGAAGCACAGATGCCCTGCTGCTGGGGTGGGGGCAGCCTCGCCTCCAAGTGGGGAACAAGACCCTGTTGCAGCCCGGCGCGGTGGCTCACACCTGTAATCCCAGCACTTTGGGAGGCTAAGGCAGGCAGATCATTTGAGGTCAGGAGTTTGAAACCCGCCTGGCCAACATGGTGAAGTCCTGTCTCTACTAAACATGCAAAAATTACTCAGGTGTGGTGTAATCCCAGCTACTCGGGAGGCTGGGGCAGGAGAATTGCTTGAGCCTGGGGAGCAGAGGTTGCAGTAAGCAGAGATTGCACCATTGCACTCCAGCCTGGGCAACAGAGTGAGACTCCATCTCAAAAAAAAAAAAAAGCTATTGCAGCTCTGGATTTGGCTCTGCCTTCTTGGTGGACTAGGACTCAGGCCCAACCCACATCTCAGCTCCCCAAGGGAAGCCCCCTATGTGAAGGCATTCTGTTTAGAATGATGGCGGGGCTCTGTCCCCCACCCCTCATGGACAGATGGGCAGACACCCCCATGTGCCTAGACAGAAACAGCGCTGGGCAGACATGCATCCTAGGGAAGGTACACGCTACACTGGGGACTGGGGACAGAGGATGATCCTGGGTAGACATGCATCCTAGGGAAGGCACACACTACACTGGGGACTGGGGACAGAGGACGATCCTGGGCAGACATGCATCCTAGGGAAGGCACACACTACACTGGGAACGGGGGACAGAAGATGATCCTGAGACAGCCCTGGGAAGAGTGAAACAAGGACCTCGACAAAGAGTATTCTCATCACTACAGGCTTAGGGGGTGACATTGTGAGTTAAGGCATGAGCCAGAGGCTGCTGGGTGAGTTTGGAGAACATTGAATAATCTTGTGGGGTATGAGCTGATTATCTGGGGAGAAAGTGGATAAATGCCTCTTTGGGTTGGAAGCACATGAAGGGTCTTCAGCCAGGCTGAGGGCCTTCGACTTGACTTAGGCAGTTAGGAGCCGCTGAGTGGGCAGGGAAACAGGGCCCTTGGGTTGTGTTATGGGGTCCATCTGCCAAGAAGGGAACAGTCAGGGCAGCATGAACTAGCATTGCTGCAAGATGACCCTGAGCACCTAGTGTGTGTCAGGCCGTGTCCCAGAGGAAGGACAGAGCTCAGCCAGATGGGGCAGGCACCAGGCAAGATTTTATCTAGGCTTGATCACATTTCTTTTCATCTTCATAGAACCATGAAGTAGCCTCATTTTACAGGTGGAATTCAGAGGGCTTCAGTAACTTGCCCAAAGCCTCACAGTCAGTGTGGAATCTCTGGCACTTTCCCCACTGCAGTACACTTCTGTACTGTTTTATTTAGTGATGTGAATCTAGAGACCAGGGATGGGAGGAAGTTAAAGGGGTGTTCTGTGGGGGTCATGCAGCAGGAGCCCCTCCTGTGGGCAGCTGTGAAGCCTCCTCTCCTCTCCTGCCCTCTCCTGTCCTGTCCTGTCCTCTCCTGTCCTCCCCTCTCCTGTCCTCCCCTCTCCTGTCCTCCCCTCTCCTGTCCTCTCTTGTCCTTTCCTATCCTGTCCTCTCCTCCTCCTCCCCTCCTCCTCTCCTCCTCTCCTCCT